GATTTGACTGGTTCATCTGATAACAATCTGAAGTGCTAGATGCTCATTTAGACTGAATTTTAAATCCCTAAATGTTCACCTATCACCAGCTTACAGACTGCAGGGAGAAGACGACTATTTACTTTTTATTTTGTTTTTCTTATATTTCTTTTTTCCCCTTGAATTTTCTACTTGTGAAAGGTCCAAAGTTACTGTAACTGGACAGGATAAAAAACTTAGCTTACTATTGATCATGATAACTTGAGACATCAGTGACTAGTTTTCTTGGAGAACATTTAGTATCACTGCTCACTAGGCATGATGCTTAAATGTCCTTCCATCCCTTGAGGAATTATATGCCAAACTTAAGATGCGAATTACTTTAAATAGTGATATATTCTTTGTATGCTGCTTTGATTGATACAGTTATTATAACAACTAATAGCACCTCCTGTAAAAGGTGCTGGGACCAGTTTGTGCTGAAGAATGGTTAGTTGTGGGAGCCAGGATTCTCAGTTTATTCACTTTAAATACAACTCCAGAACATTAGGATTAAAGAGCAGGAAAAGCACTGAATAATGAGCACTACCAGCAAGGAAACAGTGTCAGAAGTATATTTAAGACTCTCCAAGCAGCATTCAGGTTTTTATAGCAGTTGTGATAATGATCTTACACTTACGGAGAATCTTTCATCCAGAAGGATTCATTTATGGGCTTTGTGCCTACCATGGGAATAAGTGTCCTTTCTTCTGCCAACTTACACTGGGAAAAGCTGTTTACACTTCTGGAGGAAAATGCTGTGCTATGAGAACTGCTACATCCCAAACAAAATGGATTTGGACAGGCAATGCCAAGTGCTACCACAGTTAAGTATAAAACATAGTGGGGAATTTGAAGAAACAGAACATAAATAATCAAAACCATGTTCTAGTCAGGATGCTGAGACTAACAGAGTATCTTCCAACACGTATCATGGTATCAGTCATCCAATTTGTTTTTAAATCCCCATTTGAGCTTTTGGCTCTCCCTCAGTTTCTCTCAATGTATACTCATACAGGCTGCTCTCTAAAACATTAGCAACCATTAAGCTGAACTTGACAGTGCTATTTCCAGGTAAGTTACATTAAAAAGTTGGTAACTGCTAGATTTTTAGTGCCACCCAATGTAAAACAAGAAGGATTTACAATCAAATAACATGAACAAAAAGCATTTTTAGAATAACATTTGTATTTTAAATGCATTTGGATAATTCTCACTAGGTTCAGCTACCCTCTTTAATTCAGTTTGCGTCCTGTCCCATCATCTTTACTTATATAAGCTGGTTTTTCCCATAAAGGTGGAAAAGAACAGAACTGTCTATAGAGATAACAGGAGCAAAGTCAGGACTTCTACTGAGTCCTGAAAATGAGGAAGAAAAAAAGAAAGGTAATATGAAAATTATGCACCACAACACCAACCAACCAACAAAGGTGATGCCCTTCAGTTCAGGTTGGAAACTCAGGAAAAGAGCACAAAAAAAATAGTTCTTGCTATTCATTCAGCACAACACCAGTCTGATGTTTTCATTTGTTGGTAAAGAGACTTATGACTGAGGGGAAAAAAGAGTATCTTAATAAGCCTTAACTGTTTCCCTCACTTCCATGTTTTCTTCCTCTCATGGTCTCCCTAATTAAGAAAGATACTTTGTCACATAATCTCCCATTAACTCAACAAATCAGAGCAGCCAGCTCTCCTTTCAACACGAGAATGCTGAGGCAATCTTTAGATGCTACTTTCCAAAATTTAATTTCCAACAATTAGACTTAATTCAAGGTTAACACTGATTTCCCCCACAATGGAATAGGAAAAATAATAAATTGGGAGAAGTTTCCTAGCACAAAAGTAGGTATTTTCAAATTAAATAAAAGGAAGGAGGCTTCCACCACCCCTAGGAACAAACCATGACATCACTGGTTCATGAACACATAACACTGGCAAGGCTGAATACAAACCTAAGTGCTTGCAGAATGATGGCCAACCTCTGATACAAGGTCATGAGGCAGAGATCCACCCTTTATTACATTTTAAATGTTAAATGCATTGCCTTGCTAAATCTACCCACTTGATGTTGATCCTTGCTTCACTCACGGAAGATTTTTACTTGAAAAACACCTAAGCTGCAAATGGACTCCAAAGATCATGCAGGCAGACAAAGTACATATTATGAACAAGTAAATAACAAGCTTTTCTTCTGGGAAGAAAACAAATAATCAGTTCCTGGCAAGGAGGAAAATCACTGTTTCCAGCAACCAAGACTTCAGAACAACAATCTAAACTGATGAATCAGAATTCGTAATGACACAAACAGAATTATACACAGCCCTCTACAAGGGTTTATAGAAGAAATTAAACTTAACTTCATTACCAGTAACATGACAAATGCAGCTCCATGAAAAACCCATGATAAAAAAAATGGTAACTAAAAAAAATGCTAACCATGAAGATGGTTTTATCATTTAAAAAATGAATTTCATCCATCTGATTGCTCAAATTACATTTTTTTCCCAGTAATACTGAGCTAAATTGGCTATTCAGCAATGTCAATACCATTAACTGCTCATGCTGAAATAGGGTTTTGTTTTTTACATCAAGCAATACATGATTGGCAGCTATGCCAGAGATTGTATAGATTTTAGCACAGGAGAGACTGTTTACTCTCTGTGACTTTCCTCTTTGTGGCAGGGCAAAAACATAGGTGGCACTAGGAGGAATTTATTCAGCAGGTAAATTTCTTTCCCTTGTTCTTTTCTTGGTAGAAAGCGAAGAAATAGAAAAATAACTACCAGAGACATAATTTTCTTGGGAAAATGTTATTATAAGTGCAGAGGTACAGGATGTCCCTTTAACATCACAGGTGAGGAAGAGGATGCAACAAAAGAAATGTACAAGCATTTTTTTGATAGTGACACAAATGTAAATACACATAGTACCAGATCAGTAGAACAGTATCCAGTTTCTACAACAGACAAAGACATAATAAGAATCACTGGCTGAAATCTAAAGCTAGAAAAATCTGACGAGAAAGAGAAATGCAAATTTTAAATGAAGGTAATGAACTACTGTGCTATTTTATTGAAATGTGTTGGTAGATTCCTCAGCATCCCCCTGGACCCTCAAACGACCACAATGCATTAGACTTCACACAGAATAAATGGGCACTATCTCCTGGCATCTGATATAACACAGATATGAGTACATATGCATAATGGTGTCTGCTGACCCTGAATGATCAAAAGCTTTAATCCAAACTGAATATACAAAAGAACAAGAGAACTATTTATGGCAGGTTTTTTAATGTAGCTTTCTGACAGCTTCATTTATGCTGATTAGTATTTTACTGGATAATAAAATCTAACTTGAAGTAATTTCAAGGTATCACTAGCGTGAATAAGGCTGGAAAAATCGGAACCTTCCTGTTTTAGGGAAATTAGATTTTGTAGCTATGCTGTGTCTCCATTCCCTCAGACTTAATAACTTTTGAAAGTAATAACTAATTTAAAAAACAAATGGGATACTAAGTGTCTAAGAAATTACATTCTTGAAGCTGATATAACCAGGCATATAACTTACTTTTCCTCATTGTCTGCAAGAATTAATCTATTGACATATCCATGTCTGGAGACTCACTGCAAGAATGTGGTGTCTGATCCTGGCAAGAAACCAGTCATGTTTCACAGATCTCCTAGATTTTATTAGAGCATATGGAAATAGATAATCTGAATGAAAAAGTTCATTTGGGTTTCCACCAGGCCTTTGAAAGGCCACTCACCTAAGGCCTTTGAAGAGCCAAACTGCCATGGAATAATCTTACTATGGATAAATAACTACATAAAATACAAGAAAGAAAAAAAAGAGGCAAATGGACATTTTTCATAATGATGAAGTTCATACCCAGATGTCCATCTGCATCCACACTAAGGGCTATTTTATTCAACTTCATCAAAAATTACATAGAGAAGAGTAGACAGCAAAGTGACAAAGACTGCAACTGCTGCTGAATTATTCAGAATAGAAGAAAAGCTGAATAGGAAATTTCAGATTCATAGAATTGTTAAGGTTGCAACAGACCTTTAAGATCAAGTCCAGTCACCAACCAAGCACTTAGAACTTTAATGTTCACCAATAAAACATGTCCTCAAATGCCATAACCACAGTTTTTGAACGTGATGATTCCACCACTTCCCTGGGTAGTCTTTTCCAATGCCTGACAACTCTTTCTCTGAAGAAATTTTTCCTAATATCCAACCTAAACTTCCCTTAGTGCAACTTGAGGCCATTTCCTCCTGTTCTATCACTTGTTGCCTGGGAGAAGGGACCAACCCCCATCCAGCCAGTCTTCTACCCAAAGAGCTAAGAGTACACTCAGTGGGAAGCCAATTTCTCCACGAGAATGCTGTGGAAGACAGTATCAAAGACTTTAGTAAAGTCAAGGTAGACAGCCTCCACAGCCTTTCCCTCATCCAATAAGTGGGTCATCTGGTCACAGGAGTAGATCAGGTTGGTCAAGTAGGACCTGCCTTTCATAACCCATGCTGGCTGGGCCTGGTCCTCTGGCTGTCGTGTTCCTGTTGCATGAAATGGATCTAAATGAATCCATATTGTGTGTATAAATATATATATTTTGCTGGGTTTGGGCAGCACGTGGTTAAATTTTGCAGTAGCCAGGAGGTATGTGGCTGAGGGGGCATGGCCTGATGTTATTCTGTACCACCTCACCTCATTGCCAGCCACAGAAAAGGAACTCTTGCCCTTCTGGGGAGAGGGGGATCCTTCCTGTTGAAAAATTGTGGCAGGCAAGCTCTCCCATATTGTTCATTGTCCCAGGGTCTCTGGTGAACATTTCTGCGTGCAAATTATTCTCTCTTTCTGTATACTTTTATTACTGTTTTCTTATCTCACTGCTGTTTCCAGTCAAGTGTTCTTACCTCAAGCCATGACCTTTCTCTTTTGTGCCTCCAATTCTCACCTCCATCCTGCTGCAGCAAGAAGGTAGAGGGGGATCATGGAAGTGAGAGAGAGCAGCAGTGTGGTTTGGAGAGCCTCAGTGGGAGCACTGAACTGGGGAGAACCATTCCTAAGCCATGACAATACACATACAGGTATGCACATTTTCTGTTAAAGGGCTTTCACACTGATCAGCCAGGGAGGGAGCAGGGTGAATGCATTGCTATTGTTTATGCTGTGTTTTCTGTTGTGCCAATCTGCACAGCCAATCACTCGTGTATGTAACAGGTACACTGGGAACATGTGCTCAGTCTCACTACTGGCTGAATGAGGAAGCATGGAGCTAGAGCAGACTTCCCTCTCACAAGCTACCAGACTCATCATCTACTAACAGCCTACATGATCACTCCATATTTACCCTCTTCCATGTAGGTGCCAAAGACATGAAGGCCTCCCTGAAACATCCTTACACTTGTCTGTCAATGTGCTGCATGGCTCACCACTGCATCCTCTAGTTATAAAAGCTGCTACCCAAAAAAGGAACATCTCTAAGGAGAGGAAATCTGAAAATTATATTCTTCTAAATAAATTTATATCTTGTCAAACTGGCTTAGCTTTCCCTTGTATTCTCTCAGCCCCAATGGGAGAGTATTTGCTTCACTTTCTTGTGATATTTGAATTCACTTCATCCTGTGGTTTCTCTGAACTGTCTTGAAGGAACTACTGCCTAATGCACTTTTTAGTAAAGCAGTTTGTACTCTGCCAACTGTCACTCAAAGTAGTATAGAAATTCACTTATGTTCCTGCCTATTTAAATCAACAACCACAAGAATGACATTTGCTTGACAAAACTGTTACACCTTAAAATGTAGCAATGAAAAATTTAGCAATACAATTAAATTTATTATCTTTTGCAATGTTCCTCCTCAACTACAGAGTATTCCATTGACATCTGACAAAATCCAGCTGAAATCTGAAATTTTCAGGTCACTGTCCCTGTCAAAATAACAGATTATCGCAGTAAATCTGGTTTTATCATCCCATAACAAACTAAGCTGCATTTTTTTTTCCAAGTGGATGCATCCAGCTATATCTTGCAGTCTAGAAAAGCAACCAGCAAGCTACTTCATTGAGAATGGAAACAATGAAACTGGCTTCCTATGGATGTGTGCTATGGATTGAGCTCTGTTGTCATTATACTGCAAAAGTTCCATTGTCATCACATTGTAAGGGTTCCATATTGCTAGACGTTCATTCCTTCTTAACATTTCTTATAGGCATCTCCTCTAAGAACCAACTCTTCCTTCTTCTTGCACTAGCCAACTAACTCCAACTCCCCTCAGCCAACCAATCCACTCTTTTATAACACTCTTCTTCTATTTGTTACAGCTGTGGCCTGTTAAAATCAGGCCTGATCCTAATCTTTAATAATTAACCCAGCTGCAACTCTTAAGGGGATAAGATTACTTTCTATACTGCCTTTATTTACTTATATTCTGTCCCCCTACAGAGCTCTATGTGACTTCTCTCCTGCCTAATAAGGATTCTGTTTATGTTACATAACTCATTAAAAGGGTCTTCCTCCTACATGTTCATTTAAAAAAATGTACAACAGTTTATTGGATTTTTTTTTTACTTTTCCCCCTCTGTCTGCAATTGCCCAGAAGGTTCAATATGCTGTACTGGGAGAGACAGAGGACTACATTCTTTGAATGTTGGTTGCTCTCTGTTGCTTACAATAGTAAATTCAATTTCACAAATACTCACCAACTACGATATATTTATTTATAACATTTGATACATTTATTTCTATTATTATCTCTATTTTCAGGAAATACTTTCAGGATTTTTTTCTGTTTGGGGGGACACAACCACTGATGGAATGAACATAAAGGATTTCTACTGCATGACCCACACAAAAAGCTCTATAGGTAAATCTCTGATAGAAAGAGAACCATAGTTTTCATCTAGAGGAAGCTCTGCATGTAGCTAATGGCTTATCTCTCTGGGAAGTTTAACATTAAAGATGGTCAGGCTGCAGATGCTCAATGCTTTCTCTCAGACACCTGCTGATGCCATGATTGCTCCACAGGCCAAAAGGAAGTCAACTCTGAAATACAATCACTAATAAGATTAGATGGCCAGTGGTATACAGCCAGACCCACTATCTGCGAGCAGGAGAGCTCTCTGCAGGGGAGAACAAGGACAAAATATGGAACTCTCTAATACAAAGTGTTATTTTATTTAAAAAGCATACCTCCCTATCCTGATGCAAGCAAAATGCTGTACTAACTTAGGAACTGTGAATCAAAAAGACAAGTTCTACTGGAGAGAAAGAAAAGGGTTCCAACTTGACCATTCTGTCTTCCATTGGGGGAAAAACTCCAAAACCTAACACTAGATAAACCAAGGGCTGAAACTGTAACGAGGTACTGTGCCTACCCCAAGGCAGAGTGCTGAAATGTAAACTCCTGCCTACTGAGGCAGGTCAGAGATGGTAGATTACACTCTCATTCCTTCCAGCTTCTACTCTAGGGAATACCATAAATATCATAAATGGCCTCTTTTCTTAGTCACTGGTCTGGAAATTTGCAGTTAATTAATTTTACCCCATTCAACATAAAGGTCTATATGCAATTTTTTTTAGTCAACATCAAGCAATAAATGCAGGCTTCCCCAAGCTTAGCTAACAGTTCATAAAAATGATTGACAGCTCCTTCCAAGGTTTCCACAGATCACCCAGAATCACAGCCTGCCCTGGGAACTGCCGAGGGGGTCTTTTTGTAAATACTTCTTTCATGGCCTTGACCAATCACACAATTCAATTCATTATGAATTGAATTTTACTCACCCTCACCTAGCAAAAAAAGAGTATAGGTACTTGGTCAGGAAGATATTCTGAACTGGAAACTCTTTAGGAATAAATTACTACTAATTAAGCTACCCGTACTGGAAGAGGAAAAGCTGTGTTCTTCTCTCCTCATCCTGGAAGGAATAAAATCCATTTACCTATTTTCTTTTAGAGTGATTTACACTGACAGCGTATGTGCTCTTTCTACTTATTTTAGCTAACCATCTCCATCCAAGAATGCAAATATCCCAGGATCAGGAAAGCACACTGGCTGACACTACTGGTTCCGGCATACAGGTACAGAGAAGACAACTTTGCCCTGCAATTCGTACTTCTTGAACAACCTGCCTCTTATATGCAGTCACTGATTATAGAATAAATATATCAAAGGGAACAAACTTAAATAGTAAATATTTGACAAAATATGCATAACTATTCCAGTTAATATAGCAAACAGGTCCTCTTAACATCAAAACTCCACAAAATCACAACTAGCATAACTACTTCTTGGCTTTCATGCTTTTAAATTACTTCAACCTAGACAGAGTTAAAGTTGAGAAAGACATTTTATAGTAGAAATTACAATGGAAACCAAATTGAACTAATTTAAGCCCTGGTGCTGCAACTACTTTGCTTACACATCTGTTTGCAAGAGAAAGGTCTTAACCACACAGTGAAATAACTCTGAGATTCCTGTTTTGGAAAATGGGATGAAAGAGTTCTTAGAATACCAGAAAACAAGGGTTCTGTCAAACAGTAGTGATAGCCTTAAAATTCTCCACATGCACTTCTGAAAAAGAAAGGGTTGATTTGTAAAACCTAGTAAAACTCAACATCGAACAAAACAACATTGTCTGGGTCTCTTTATGTGGCCTGCCTGGGAGAGCAGCCAACAGACTGATTTAGTTTAATATTATACAGAAAACCTACCTGTAAAATCAATCATGGTAAGCTCTGTGCAGGAAGTTCAGGGCAAGGGTGAAGTAGCCAATTGTCAAGTGTTGTTCTTGTCTTAATAGTCCATTCAAATATGCAGTTCTTCTCGGTAATTCTCTCTTTAGATTGAAGATGCCTGACAAACAAGAAGCTGTAAGTTAACATCATAATTTCGCTGATCCTAAAAAGCCACCAGAACAAAGCACTGGAATGTAAACTATGAAAATGCAGTTTTCATTGAAGATGACAAGGGAAGCTCTCTTCGTTACTTTTCAACCCTCCGACCTCCCAAGAGTCATGCCAGAGTTGTCAGGTTTTTCTAATTAAGTATTTAAGCATGAAACATGTTCCACATGCAGTCATTCCTTCTAAGACTATGAAAGAATACAAGGAAGAGTGGCCAAAAATATTTTGTGCAATTTATGGAAATACCTACCCATCTACTGTGAGGTGCACTCTACCTGCTGATGTGCACATTTCATCTGGCTGACAAGGATACTCATTATCTTTGTGAAAATGATGAATAACCTTTAACTCCTTGAGAAATTACTGCAAATGAAAGCCTGAAAATGATGGGCTGAACCTGAAGTGATCCATTCTAGTGAGGTGAACAGAAATTGGAATGTATCCTTCCATAGCACAATATTTTTGGGTAACCATTTTGGTGCTTATGGCCAGGCAGGAATCTGTATTTCTTAGTGTCCAGGCATTACCTCACCCAGATGGAAGCCTGTGCACCACAGTCCTCCACACCAAAATCCTTTTCCCTGCTCCCTTTAGGCTTCCCATCAGGAAAGCCTAAACAAATATGGAGGCCATATACATATGGCATTTTGGGATGCAGATGTCTATCAGCATCTTTGTTAAACCTGCCAGACCTTCTTAATTTGCTTAGCTTTGTAACAATCCCCTGGTTGTATATCAACCCCCCCAGTTACATTTGCTGTCAGCATTGAGGTATCAGACAAAACTGTACATCTTTTAATTTAGAGGTTTGCTACACACTGGAGAAATGTGCTTACTTGAAACAGGTAAAAAGCTCTAGGGAGAGTTTATGATTATAATATCTCTGCATTTGGGAGACCCTGTCTGGAGAAGTCTCACTGGTACAGTTCTGATGTCCCCACCATAAGAAGAACATAGAAGTAGTGGAGCAAGTCCAGAAGAGGTCACAAAGTTGGTAAAATGACTGCAGCACCTTCCCTACCAAGGCAGGCTGAAAAAGCTGTGTTTGTTCAGCTTGGAAAAGGTTGCATGGAGACCTACAGCAACCTTCCAGTGTCTGAAGGGGCAAACAGTGATGCCAAAGACACTCTTTGGCAGGAACGTAGTGATAGGACAAGGAGTAATGGGTAAAAACTGAAAGAGGGAAAATTTAGGGTAGATATTATAAAGATTTTTTTCACTGTGAGGGTGGTGAGGCACTGGAACAGATTGCCCAGGGTGGCTGTGGATGCCCCAACCCTGGCAGTGTCCAACGCCGGCCTGGATGAGGCCTTGAGCAACCTGGTCTAGAGGGAGGTGTCCCTGCCCAAGGCAGGGAGAACTGGGACTGACCTTTAAGGTCTATTCCCACACCTTAACATTCTATTATTGTACTAAAATACTCAGACATGTGGCAGCTTAAGCTAACTGGAAAAAGAAAACGTTGGCCCTCAAATAGGAAACTGATTGCCTTTTTCCTCCTCTTCCCTAACCTTAAATTGCGACCACCCTGTAAACACCACAGCGGCAGCCCGTGCCTCGCCCCGCCTCCGAGCCGGCCTCAGCCCTGGCAGCCCCGGTCGTGCCCGAGGCCTCGGGAGGCACCGCCCGCCCGGGGCGGAGCGGAGAGGGGGCGAGCGGGGCTGGGGGCGGAGCGGGGCCGGGCTGAGCTGGGCTGGGCTGGGGGCGGAGCGGAGAGCCGGGCGGGGGTGAGGGCGGAGTGGGGACCGAGTTATGTCCAAGCACGTGTTTCTCACGGGACCCCCAGGTAATGGGGGCGGGAGGAGCCCGGGCAGCCGGGCAGGGGCGGTGGCGCGGCCGAGGGGATGGCCTGGGATACGGCCTGGCCTGGCCTGGCTTTGACTGGCCTTGACTGGCTTGGCTCGGCTCGGCCCGGCCCGGCCCGGCCCTCCGCGGCACCGGCGGGGCTGTGAGGCGCTTAGAGCCGGGGGAAGGCAGCTGCTGCCGGGCCCCGGGCTCCGAGGATGCCTCGGGGGCGCCTCCAGCTGCAGGTGGGCCCTGCCCCGCCCGAGGTTCCCGCGGCTGCGGGCCCGGAGCTCCGCCCCCCCGGGTCGAGGTCAGAGCTGTTGCACTAAAGTTCCTATTAAAGTGCCACTTTACCTCTCCATCCAGTCCTCCAAGCTATGCACTTTTCCAGGCACTGCTGCTTTGTCCCTGGCTTCTGCCCTGGAGTGCAGTGTTGGGGGGAAAAAACCACCTCCTGGACAAGTTTAAACTGCAGCAATTAATAATTTCGGAGAGCTCATCTTTCCTGTAACTTAACTGTAGTGATTTAGCACTTCCAGCCTCAGTGAAGTGCGGGTGTAGGTAATAACTGGTGTCCCGGATGGGCAGGCTTTGATTGAAGCAGTGAAGTAGTTTGTCATGGTAAGGGAATCTGGTTATTGTGGAGACTGAGTGGGACATTGTATGAGGGTCAAACTTTACGGTTGATAAAGAAATTGGACAGTTACTATGATTGCAGAACTTTCCTTTGTGCTGTGCGAGTAAAGCAGTGGGCCTAATTCTCCTTTTTGTGAATATCTTGCAGATGCCTGTCTATTTTAAATGCTGCTGTTGGCCTGAGATAGGAATACATTCCGCCCACTTCACATGGGCTTTCCAACCACTTGAATAAAGGCAGCCTTTCAGGAGATAGAGAGGTTAGGGTGGCTTAGGTCTTGTCTCTCTTCATTTACTTGAAATTGGATGTACTGTTTTGATTAGCTAAATGCCTAACTTCAAGCTTCCTTAAACGTAGTTTGAATCACTCTAGCTTGTTTGGCAGTTTACTGAATGAATGTTAAAAAGTTAGAGCTAACAAATCCACTTAGCAAATTTAGTATAAATTCACTTACAAGGCCTTGAAAAGATGTTAGATAACTGAGGATGCCACATTTGGCATTTTTTTGTTGTTCAACTGCCAGCAAGCCCTCTTCTTCAAATTTGAAAAGTTTGCTTAGGCATTTGACTACATGCCTTTGAAGCCACAGAATATTTTGTCATTGGTGTTGACTGTTAGGAAAGAGGTTCCTAAATCTGCTTAAAGTCTAAATTAGAAATTTGGTGTGTGCATGTTGAAATTATTTCTGTTGTCATCTTTAGGCATCTCATGTTTGGTCTGTGTTCCTTATCTCCAGGAGTTTGAAGGTTTATTCTGCAGGATTATTTTCTATCATCTGAACTTTTTAAAGCAGTGGTTAAAAATGAAGTGATAGCACTAAATTTTGTGAGAGGCAATAAAGATGAGTTTAAAAGGAGATCACTGAGGGATGAACTTGTACTATGACAGAGAAGAAAAACTGAAAGGATGTCTGGAACATGGCCAGTGTTCACATTGTAAAAGGTGCATCAGAGTGTGCAAGGAGATATCAGATGGCAAGAGTTTTAAGGACCTGTCTTAGGGTAAGAAAATTAAATTATAGGGTCAGAAGGTAATGTCAAAAGAGACTTGAGGAAGTTTAAAGGAGTATCAGCTATCAGGCCTGACCAGGTTGCTTTAGGTTTTATCCAGTCATGTCTTTAAAACATTAAAGTATGTGAAGATTGCACCACCTCTCTGGGCAGCCTCATTCATGGCTTCATTGGCCTCACTATAAACAAGCTTTTCTCTCTATCCGGTCAAAATGTCTCTTGATTCTGTTACCAGAAGGAAAAGTTTTCTGTTGTTGCGACTTTGTAAGGGTTTGGTATCTCAGGGACATTGAGTGCTTCTGATTTCTAGGACATCAGTGGAAGAAGTGTGTCCTTTGTGCCAGTTAGGCTTCTGGTAATAGCAGTCAGCTTTGACCTTCTGATCTAAAAAGGGGGTGAACTTAACTCTGATCTTAAAAGTAGTGAATATCAGTGGTAGAAAGGGGGATTCATCAGTCAGTCTTCCAGCAAGCTTGGCTATCAGTTTTGTGCCACCTGCCTCGTGGTAAGTTTTGTGGCCTGCTCATGCATCATCTAAGCTAACAAATTCGTTGGTAGCCTGGGATATTTGTGCCATTCTGTGGTGAGACATTACAGCGTCAGTACAGCGTGAATGTTAAAAGATACTTCTGTTCTTTCCTATCGTGTAGAAAAAGTAATTTGCAACCTTCATAAGTAATCAATGTTCCTGCTGAACTGAATCATTACTGTGGCATTTAAAAAAATGGGCTTTTAGTGCAGAAGAAGATTAATGCTGTGTGCTTTTTTCCATTCTTTATTTTTAGGGGTTGGAAAGACTACTTTGATCCAGAAAGTCACTCAAGCTCTAAAATCCTCAGGCGTTCCTATTGATGGATTTTACACACAGGAAGTTAGAGAAGGTGGCAGGAGAACAGGATTTGATGTTGTCACTCTGTCTGGAAACCGAGGACCTTTATCTAGAGTCAGGTAATGAAG